ATAACTATAGGCAATTTTTAGTGAGACCTATCTAATACACTCTACAGCATATTATACAGTAATTATTAAATATCAAACCCAGAATGATAATATCAAATCCATATTTACTGTTGAATTCTTTAGTCTGGTTTTACAGTTATGGTTTAAATGATACAGGTAGTCCTCCACTTACAACCGTTCTTTTAGTGACCGTTTGAAGTTAAAATGACTCTGAAAAAAGTGACATGAACAATTTCCACACTTATAACCCCAGGGTCACATGGTCAACATTTGGATACTTGGCAACTGGCATGTATTTATGACAATTACACTGTTCCAGGGTCGTGTGATCACTGTTTGTAACCTTGCCAGCGAGCTTCAAACAACCAAAGTCAACGCGGGAAGCCAGATTCTCTTAACAACTGTGACAAAAAGGAGTCGTAAAATTGGAAAAACTCACTGAACAACTGCCTTGCTTATCAGCAGAAATCTTGGGCTCAGTTGTAGTCATAGGTGGAGGGCTACCTATAGTTATGCAGTCAGATCTGATTCAAGAGACCTTTTGCTTCAGTTAAATGTACTTACTTTATACTTATTTCCAGGCCTGCAGTGAGTTCACCACTCATGTTATGAACCTCCTTCGGGAACAGAGTAGAACAAGGCCAATCTCGCCCAAAGAAATAGAGCGTATGGTGAATATAATTCATGGAAAATTCAGCACCATACAGATGCAGCTGAAACAAAGTACGTGCGAAGCAGTGATGATTTTGCGTTCAAGATTTCTTGATGCAAGGTAATACATGATCAAGACTATTTCCTGTGTCCAAGATACTGATAATACAAAACACTATAAGCGTTTTACAGTAGGCACATAAGGCGAGTTAACATCGGACCATATTGGAAATACAGAAAATATGCTATGTTCCTAATCATTGCTGTTTAATCTTACTTATACTTTAAGTTTGGGGTTCAACAGTAATGATACTTGAAGCTTGGGTGTGTTTGTTTGCAATTAACAGATTTCATGATTAGTCACATTGATGAGATTATATGAACATTGGCAGCTGAATTATATTTGCCATGTTTGCACAATTTGGGGTTCCACAGTATTGAATTAGAAAAGTGTTGTCAACTTTGAACTTTCCATAATTTACATATGGTTTTGGAGAAGCTTTCCTATCAGTTGTTACTTGGTCTTTCTAATGACATGAGCATATTAACATTTTATTTATTTAAAACATTTATAAATCTGCCCATCTTATAGCCAAGTTTGGCCAGCGCCAAGTTATTTTACCTTAAAAATTTACATAAAAATCTTAAAAATATTATAAATGCATTAAAACAACAACAAAAAACCCTGGAGCTAATCTTATAGTTAATTATCTGAGGACTTGGTGGAAAAGCCAGGTATTCAAAGCTTTACAGAAGGCTAAAAGGGTGAAAATCTGCTGAACCTCATGGGTAGAGTGTTCCATATAGCAGAGGTATGCTTCTTGGCTTCCATCAGATGGCAATATTTAGGAGCAAGGAGCATGCCCACCCTATCTGACCTGGTAAAATGGGTAGATGTCCTTAGGAAAGGAGTCCCACATATAATCCGGCCCTGTATCATATAGGGCTTTGAAGGTGACGACCAGTACCTTGAATTGCACCTTGGAAAGGTATTGGACATCTTTCATATGTTCCACGTTATATATCTAATGCCTCATGCAATAGAGGCGTTACATATGCAAACCTAGTGGCACCCATGTAATGTGCGCTATTACATTCTGGACCAGTTTCCAGGTGATTGTCTGTGTAGAACGTATTGTGGTAACCCAAATAGGAGATGACCAAGGCATGGATGACCCTTCCTGATCCAGGAAAAGGTGCAATAGGTGAATCTGTTCAAAGGCCTCCCTAGTCACAGATGCCACCTGCTGCCACCTTGCTTTTTAAAAACCTGTTAAGGGTAAAACAGAGCAATGATGGATGGGATGGGAACTGAAGGTATGAAACTCATAAACACTAGTTAATCTGTAGGCAGTTGTGATATGAGTAGTGATGTTTTTAATTTTGAATTATACACTTTAAAATTTGTGGAATTTTGTATTTATATTCGTAGATCATTTTGGGAGTACTGTTTAATATGTGCAGAACAGTAATCTTGACTGTAGTTTTAGTTTTAACTTTAAATTATAGCA